TCTCTCCCTGTTCTCCTCTAAAGCATATTCTACGTACACCCCATCCCCTTTGTCTAGACACTACATGGGGGGCAGCTCTGTAATACTACTGACACTGTTAAATCTATATTACAATATACTAACTTTTGCTAGCTTGCATGCTTCTGTGCCTGTGCCTGCTTGTGTATTTCGGTTTGTTTGTTGTTTCATTTATTTATCGTTTCATTTAATTGTTGTTTGCTTCTTCTGATCATTTAGCTGCCCTGCAGAGGACACCGATGAGATCAGCAGAGTCTGTGGCGACTGCCTGCAGCAGCCGTATAGACACTGCGAGGGGCCGGGGAGACGAAGTAAGAAACAACAACACTAACAGCTCTATCAACCGAGCGCATCATGATCATAACACCAATTCAACTCTCCTTTACTCTCTTATTCTTATCTCCCTTTCCCGCTGCAAACCCAGCAACAACAACAGCACCCACTGACACAGCTGCTGCTGCTGCTGCTCTCGTCGCTGCAGGTCGTTTAGGTAAGCACGCTGAGGTCGCTCAGCTCGTGAGCCTCCAGAGTGGTGGCCATCGTCCCCTCCAACTTCTTGCCCAGGGCATCCTTTGAAGAAGAGTAGATCATGCGGGGCTTCACGGGGGCGCAGTCAGGAGACCACAGGATGAAGTGGATGCGCTGACCTGTCGATACACCGCACGCAGATACACATATAGATATTTTCAGCTCAACAAAAGCATACGAACCGGAAAAGCAACAATTCATTGCATGCAACATACACACACGAGCACAAGACGGCAGTTGTGAGCAGCCGCGCTGTGCGCTCCCTGCCTGCACACAACGCANATACACACACGAGCACAAGACGGCAGTTGTGAGCAGCCGCGCTGTGCGCTCCCTGCCTGCACACAACGCAACCAGAGCCGCTGCCCCGCCAAAAACACACAACATATCTTTTAATCGTAAAATGAAGGAAAATCATGAATAATAAAATGCCGCTTCACCCGCCCTGCGAGCGCCAGCAGGAAGAGCAGCGCTGCGCCACACGACGGGGCGCTGCTCTGTGTGTTCCTGTGCAACTCAAGGTTGAGCGAACGGAGGAAAGAAACAAAAGAATAAACCTACCTTCATCGTACACTGCGTATCTGCAATCGGATGCAGGGAGTTCCTTGGAGAACTCAGCAGCGGGGCTGGTTCCCTTTTTCTCCACCACGATCTCGTCGTGGTCGATCTTGAATATGATCCATTTGTAGGCGTGGCGCAGCTTCAGCTCATTGAAAGCTGTCACGCAGGTATCATTTACGGGCATTCCGCTCGCCATTTTCGGAGTAAAGAGAAAATAAAAGAAACAAAAGAAAGAAAGCAAACAAATATGTGGCACAAGGATATGCGCCACAGAGAAGAGTGCCGCCTGCACACGCACCGCCGTTGAGGTTGTATGCACACCGTACTGAACTCACGGGGTGAACAAGTCGCCGCGTGAGAGAAAAGCAGAGAAACTTGGGTCGCTTGATTGCGCGTTCGGAAAACACTGTAAATCCAAAATATAAATAGCTTCTAAAGTAAACAAGAGAAGCGAAGAAAACCAACAACAACCAAAGCATTCATGAGAGAGGGGTCCGCCTGACAGCAGCCCTGCGGCGCTGTGCGTACCNACCAACAACAACCAAAGCATTCATGAGAGAGGGGTCCGCCTGACAGCAGCCCTGCGGCGCTGTGCGTACCTACCGGGTAGTTAGCCGATTCCTCTGGTGTTCTTATACGCCAGCGTCATATCCGCGTTATGTACTATTTTGCTGCTCTTTCCTACCAAAAGGGCTCAAAATAAATGTAATACTTTAATCTAAATCAATTAAACCGTTATTTTACTTGTTTATCCGCTGCGTCTCTGCTATTCCTCCACGCGTGTGGTGGTCTGGCGTCACGCGGGCATACGGGGCCTCCAGGAGGGCCCCGAACCTGTACTTTTCCTGGCTATGTACACGGTCTCTTTTGGCTAGGTTTGTTTTAACTTGTGTTTTGGT